TAATAACTTAGGATACTAGTAGTTAGATAAGATTACATTCTTTTGAGTTTTGTACATCAATCCTTAGCAAATTCCATTGTTAAGAAACATTCCCAATTTTAGGAATATCAGATATTCCCTGATAAAAATCTGATAAAAAAAAATTAAAAAAAGAATCCTAATATGTGACTTATGTAATTACCATATGGATGTTTCGTCCATGTCACCGAAGTTCTAACTTCATTCCCCCTTCCCCTCCCCCAATTCCCCATATTCAAAAAACAGAAAAAAAGATTCCTTGATAAAAGTTATTTAACAACTTACATTTAGAAAAACAAATTTTCAATAAGTTGACTTTTTTTAAAATATAATTTAATTATTTAATAGGTTGCTTGTATAGTACCTCTAGATTACAAGCCTACACGTATTCTCTTTCAATAATTCAGTTATGGTTATTACTACAACTCTACACATAGTTTTATTAAGTATTTTTAATTTGGTTCAACTATAAAATGTTCAAAATAATTAAACCAAATGGAGTTATTATGATCATTTAGTGGAAAATAATTAGTATACATTTTAATTTAATACATTTAATAACACTCATTGATTTAGTTATTAAATTTTATAGTTGAAATTTTTTTCATTTTAAATTTAAATTTAAAAATAATAATTTTTAATAAATATATTATAAATTATATTAAATCTAAAAATATACATATCGTTGTCTTTATTTATTATCATAATTCTCCACATATTTTTATTTTTATTCTTTTATCAAATATTTTTTTCTAGATAAGATTATATCAAATATTTTTATTTTTCTTAATTTGTACCATACAAATATAGATTAAAAGTATATTTATTATGTTAAATAAACTTGTTGAAGGCATCTATTAAAAAAATCTTATTTTAGATCTTACTCCTAAAAAAAAAAAATTAAATGTTAATTTTGGTCTCTCAACTTTAAGGTATTACACAATTTTCATCCTTCAACTTTATTTTATATTTTTTTGGTTCTTTAACTATAAAAAAATACATTTTTTAGTCATTCAATTAGTTAATCCGTCAAATTCATTTAAATTTACACATTTTTAATCCTCAACTTCTAATATATACACATTTTTCATTCTTTAACTTAAAGTTGAGGGATTAAAAATGTGTAAATTTAGATTATTTTAATGGATTAACTGACAAAAAATTAAAAAAGTGTATTTTTTATAGTTAAGGGGTCAAAAGAGTGTAAAAATAAGTTGAGAGATGAAATTATGTAAAATCTTAAAGTTGAGGGACCAAAATTAACTTTTAACCAAAAAAAAAAGTTGACAATCTCTAGGTCACTGTTTTCCAAAATCATGAAAATTTCTAGAAATGATAAATCCAGGATGATTTCCTTCCTTATAAGAGACAAAAATCCACTTACCTTTTTTTTTTAATACTACACTTATAATATTATATTATGTATTATTATAAATTTATAATTATCACATTATATTAAATAGTATAATTTTTTATTAGATAAGTATAAGCAAAGATAAAAAGAGAGATTTATTTAAATATAAGTTTTATATGTTATATTTATATAAAATTTTAATTTTATCTTTTTATTTTTAATTTTTAATGATTGAAATTTATTATAATTTTTAAATAGATAAGTATAAGCAAAGATAAAAAGAAAGATTTATTTAAATATAAGTTTTATA